TTTTGATAAGAATAATATTACGTAATATTACGTGATTTCAGACTTTTGTTCCATTATTTTCTCTTTCACCCCATGTTGACCATATTTATTCTGGTCATTTATCGCACAATTTCATTTCACTTATAAACTGATTCAAGTTAACACTTTATATTAGTCACTGAACTTGTTGAGCTACGTTAGAAGTTACTATACAGAGGACCGATAATGACCAAGAGTTGACTCAAGGTTGCTAGTACTAGTTAACGCATTATTGTTTGGCACAAAGACAAGATCATAGAAGTCGATATTCTGATTGGCAATTTTTGTCACGTGGTATTTGACGGGCCATAGGAAAATATTTCATCAAATAATTCGAAAGAACATTGACACTTGATATATTACAAACATTGTAACGTGAACCATTAAAAACCAAAAAACCAGGCCAACTTCGCATAAGACTACTCAGTAATGTGCAACTACAACCCTACGACAGAACCAAAGACCTTCAGGTTTTTTTAGTAGAACTTAACCTTTAGATTACTGAGTTTTCATTTCTAACATGAGTCAGTTCACGATATTGCACGAACATTTTGATTCTCAATGTTTAAGCTGTTATGTGGAACTACATATATAACATTTTCTTAGAAACTTATATTTTAATACATATAAATTTCATTGTAAAACTTTGAAGTGAAAAGGATTGTGTTTAAATTAAGCATTCTATAATTATAGTATATTTGTGATAGGAAACATAACTCTAACAAAACTTTGATACTACGATAGAACAGCTCCTTTATCAATTGACCCGGATTACTCCGAAAAACAAATCTTATAAGGAAGATTTATTTGATAGAGATTCAAGAAGATTAATTCACACACGAGTTTATTCAATTACAGACAGGTTACGTTCAGTGACAATTTGTTAAAGAATTTATCGAACTATCATTTGAATAAAAAATCATAGTAAATTGATGAATTCAATGAAAATTGATTGGAAATCAAATAAACAATATTCACACAATTAATGAATAGTAAAAGCTAATCAGCGAAAATCACCCTAAATTAATACGTGAATTTCAAGATTGGATTTTTTTTGTAATACATTGAACTTGGCATAACCAATAAATTAGTTTGGTTGAACAGTTTAAGGTTAGTTTTAAAGTGGTCTTCGTTAAATCTTCTTTAGAGACATTAAGACGTTAGTTTGGCTACAACGGTGAGAGAATTTCTAATTTACACTTGTGAAACCGAGTTCTATTAAGTGAGTGTTTACCAACTTTGTATTAGATTAGTGTTTTGGCTGAAAGATTGTTTAAATCCGGTGGTAAGGCCGAGTAATATTAAGGGCAGGTAATGTGTTTTTGGGTATTGCAATGGCAATGCAATCAAGTGTAAAAATCATGAAATACAAGCTTTATTGGTGATAATGTTTTAATTAATCTAGTTTATACAACTTTGGTGACTGATATCCAGTGTTCAATAAGAACGATGTCTTCAATCACTGAATAAAAATAACACATTTTACACTTTTTCCTTTGTTATCATGTTCCATAAAAAGTATCGTGAATAACAAACACTGAAAGATAATTTACACGAAAAACTGACAAAAAACAGATATCTTCAGTAGAACTGTGTGTTGTGCCTTTAAGGCAGGCTAGTTATCACGTGATTTATTCGCCAATCGAAGGATGACTTATCCAATCTTAGTACTGTGCTAGCATAATGACCTTCGACCGGTATGAGCAGCCTGGCGTCCTTATTGGTCCTTTGTCCACCTAGCCCGTCCACTTGAGTCAAGAATACCAATACCAGCTTCCATTGATAGTTATCGGAAGTTACTAATAAATTAATCTTCACTAGGATATAACATGGTGTATATTATTTATTAAAAGAACCAGCCAGTATTACATAATTAACAAATACCATGAAAATAACTTTTTCATGTAAAAAAAGAACTAACGATTAAGCAGAAAGTTGACTATACTGAAAAAGTTTTCGAAGAAGGCCTATACAACAACAATTATTATTCTTTTAATCATTACCCCATGGTAATAATAATGGTTCAAATCACAGTTTTCTAATGATTAAACATCTGTTCCGCAATGTATATCCCACCCACTTCTAGCATATTTTCCTAACATACTCTTCAGTAGAAAGCCGGTTTGTTCTCTCCCACAATAGTTTGTTGCTCATTGTATCCGGTCAGCGGACATTTAGTATCTTGTGTAGACAATTGTTTATAAATATTTGTACCTTTTTGATAATGGTTGTAGCAGTTCTCGTAGTTTCGTCTTCGTAAAATAGAACTATCTTGACGTCTGTACTGGAGATTGTGACTTTGATGTTGACTGGCAGTTGTGTTGAGTTCCGTTGTTTCTTCAACTACAAGAATTCTTTCCTTGATTTGCCAATCCTCACTCTTACGTATGCATCATATCCTCCACGTTCACCGACGATGCTACCTGGATACGTGAAACTTTCCACCTCTCCCAGTTTCGCCATCAAGTGTGATTGGTTGTTCTCCGTGTCGTATTTGAGGATCTAGCTTTTTCCCTTGTGTATGTTGAGGCTTACTGGTGTAGATAATGATGCTACACTGTTTGTCTTTATCTTCATTTGTTGGTGTGTATGAGATAGAAGGGCCAAGTCATCTGCGAAATCGAAGTCGTCTAGTTGCATCTAACCTGTCCATTTTATTCCGTGCTTCCCTTCAGATGTGGAAATCTTCATAATCGAACCAACCATCACAAGAAAAAGGAAGGAGGAGTGTAAGTAGCCTTGTTTGACTCAAGTCCTCACTTAAAATGCATCTGTCAGCTGTCCTCCATGCACTATTTTGCAGTGTAGTCCGTCGTATGAATTCAGGATGATGTTGATGATTTTCTCGGGCAGAGAGAGTTAGGCTGATATATTCCTAATTGTATTAATTGAATATATGCAAACAATTCACTTACTACCAACCATTTTTTTAGAATTGCTTGAATTGTAAACCAAATAACCATAATTTTTTGTACTGAATAATTCCATAGCTACTTAGTAGAATTAAGCATGAATTTCATCAATTTCACAACTGTCTACTTATAAGTAGTTTATAAACAACATACTGTTTTTCTAAGTACATGATTAAAACTGATAATTTCAGTGTATAAGAAAGTCTGATTCAAACCTGAGTTAAAATGTACATTGATTATGTCTGTCTGCAAAATTCGATAGAGTAGTATTGTCTTTATTTATAAAACAAACGTAAATCAACTAAATTACAACATTAAGACATGAATATATATACATCTCCCTTTAGTTTTACATGGTAGATTTGGATTGTTGTCCTTTTTTAACTGAAAATTAGGAAGATTTCATGCCATGCAATTGTTTATCCTATCTCACATGGAAGTGGATATGATACAATGACTTCTACTTCATAAATAATTTAAAGTAATCAAAGATCGATCACACAAGCTAAAGTTTACTGCACTTTAAGGATAAAAACTATTTTGCATTCAAATTGATATTTCTGTATATGTTGCACATTCTTCGTAATGCTAATTTCTAATTGTCAGTTGTATAATATCTTACTTGATATTCCAGTATCTTGAGATCTATTTTGAAATCTTTATTCGTGGTTTCCTCATTTTCCTTTACCAATCAATTTAGGTAAGCCTGATCTACTTCTTTAGATTAGTTATTTACTAACCCTATGAAAAATTTAATTTATTATCTATTATCTGTATGAATAACTCCCTTAGTTGAGAACAGTCAGTACGTTAACAACATAGGACTTAGGGAAGGTATGTATACTTAATAAAACCTGAATCAGTAAAATCAGATAGGAGATAAACAAGATGAGGAGCGTAGGGTGGGAAACAATATAGAGAGTAATAGAAATCTAAATATGAGAAATGCTACTGAACAGTCAATAATAATATATGTACATCCTGAGCAGCTTTCCGATATTGCCCTTTAGTCGCAAATTTTTAGTATATTTGGTAATACGGTTAGCAGTGGGATCCAGACTGCGTATTTTGCCTTCTCTGAGATTCGTTTGAATTAACCTTCATCTTAATGATGATGTCCACACTGAAACCTGAACCCAAAACCTTTTGCTTCAAACTTCGATGAGTTATCTATTGAGCTACTGGTTCCATACGATAACTAAGATTCTTATTCTTGAATATCAATAAAGAGATATCACAAAACTTTACTAATACCTTCACATCTGTTGAACAAGTTATTAGTTGTCTGGAATCAACAGCTTTGTAGACAACACGCTAGCATTTGAAGCGCAAAGTATTGTGTTCGAATCTCAGTGCAAACATGAACACTGAGATACAGGCATATCTAACTGACGACTCCCGAATATGAATAAACGACTAATTTAGATTGCACTGCTAACTACACACTAAAGATACTAAAAACATAAGAAATGAAGTTAGAAAAACAAAGATCAGAGCATGAAATGATAAGAATGACACCGAATCCAAGATTTATAAGAAGATAAATAGTGAAAAGAATTGTGATGGGAAAACATGTATTTCCAGAAACAATTAATACAACTATTTGAGCTAACAAGCGAATTTACTGAATAAATAAATAAAAATATTGTTTGATTACAATGACTGTAATCGACCTACTTAAAATATAGAAAGAAAAAACTACAAAAGCATTTGATTGTCTAGATCTTATCAGAGACAGTGTACGAGAATACATAACTTGACGAATGTGTTGAATGACAAATATATATTTATTCATAGGCGTTAGAGAAATATACAAAACGTAATTTTTCGTGCATATATACCGGTTATTCATGTCAATACTATAGGATTACGATATCATTTAATGATGAATGAAACAGATTAACTTGTAATAACCACAACAGACAAAAGAAATTTTACATGAAAATGATAGAGTCTGTTCAATAGTTCGGAAACTTGACCGGGTACCACATTCAGAATTAGTGGAAACTATTGCTTATGTATAATAGTAATAAAGAAAATTGAAGCCGTACTGTTATAAGTAATACCTACCAAGTGTAAATCGTTCCTTGCCTATTGAGTACATTCCACAAACAACTAAAATGGTAGGATCTTTTATCAGATAATCACGTGTAACTTCCAGTGCTCCATGAATAACATCCAGTTGAGTAGGAAAGTCATACTGAGATGAACAATATCTAAAAATTGGTAGATCATTCATAAAATCAATACATGAAAAATTTCTATCTTGTCAAAAGTGACATCTGGACATGGGAAACGAGAAACAATGTAAAAACAGCAATAACATAAGATTAATTTTAAATCAACTAATCATATTTAGGTAGAGAAAACAAATACGTTTGATTGGAAAATATATCAATATTTCTAAATGTAACATCCTACAAAACTTATTTAACGAAAAATGAATTACAATCAGAATGAATTTAAAAAATAAACATTTTAAGAGCATTAGAAACTGGTACTGTATCCTCGGGTTTTCTACAACTAATAAACCTTAAGTTAATTAATACTCTACTTTAATGCTATCGTAATTCAGTCAGAGAAATGTCATATGAAAATTGAGAAAATACTGAATTATTTTCCAGAAAACATCGTCTATACGTTGTTCATAATTTCGGTCATCACACCGTATATTGTGGCTCTTTACCCAGAAATATGATTATCCAACGATCAATTTAAGTCGGTAGAAACAAATAAATTAAAAAAAACTGACTGTAACCATAACGGTTCTAGTCATTTCTTTCATGTCTTTGATATGATGGGAAGAAAAATCAATTTTCTATTGATTTACTCATTGTGAGTTTTATTCAACATTACATCCATTCTAATTCAATGTAATGATCATTCAGTGTAGTATTTTTTTCTTTTGTCGTATGATATTCTATTCTGTATAATATGCGATATTCTTGTATTCTATTGATATGATCTATGCCCATTATATGATTTGTTATAACTCTAAGTATTTTTCATATATGTGATTTTATTCTAATTATTAATCAAAAATGGGTGCAAAATCAATATATGAACCAGTGTATTTTAGACTATTTTGATCATCATCGTCGTCGTAATTTGGGGCTAATAAATCATCACTTATACCAGTCTTTGTGTTTTTACTTTCGCAATAGCGAGGTCCAACAATTGCGACGACCGAACACAAGTCTTTAACACATTATGTTTATGTGAAGGATTTATGACAAAACCTTTCAACTAAAGTTAGATTACATACTCCACTATATCTTAATATAGTGAGAACTATTCTAACAGGAATCGTCATACATAAGATAGCGCTCAAGTAGTGTATTTAAAATATAAATGTATAATTTAAGAGATTTTGGTACGTTCGTGGACCAGATTAATATTTCGCAACTCTAGCTTCAATATAGTGAACGAAACTACTTTCTCTTTTTCTTTCCTGTCCCGCTAATTGAGTGAGAGGTCCAGCTTCTTCACAAAAGCTTTATTGATGATGACCTTAATAGAATCTTTTAAAACATTCTAGTTACTCAGTTATATATCAGTTGCAATGACTAAAATTTATGAACTGAGCAAATATCACTCAACAAAAATAAGTAAAAATGCATTGAATGTCATCAAGTAGTGCAGCGAAAATGTGTTGACATTACATTGATCTTAAATTAATATTGATTTCCTTCTTCATAAGATTTACTTCCACATCACTCACAGATTTTTGCTTATTTCAGAATGATAAATGTACTAATAGTACAAATATATACACTAGAAAAACATATATAAAGAAAACAGGACTCCTACGTTGTATCCAAAAATATTGAATGTATTCTTGGTAACTTTTTGGAAGAAATGTCGTCCGATAAATAATTTGTTAATATACTTGGATGATTTAACATTGATGGTGTATAACGAAAGTCACCAGTATGCAGATAAGTTTTCTGTTTTGATGGCACATAGAAAAGGAACATTAAAGAGCCAGGACAACTGTAAGATAAATTAGTGGGGAAAATATAATGAAATAGTAGCATAAGCATACATTAATAAACCTTATTTTACCATGACTTCAATTTAAAATAAAAATCTCAGAGAAATCGGTATGAATCAATGTAAAATGGATTGAAAATTGAGAATAAAAATTGCTTCATGATGTTATTTAAACTTCTATTTATCCAGTAGCTTCTACTGGTTTTTTATTTCAAAAACATTTATTCTCATAAACTTAAAACGGAATATATTTTTAACTGTATCAAGGCTTAGAAGTGCAGATTAAGAATTTCACCTTTGTCGATATTCGGTGGTCAGTCAAAAAACATATGAAGTGTGGTAGAATTATAGAAAATCTGATTTGAACTTACAGGTAGAACTCTTAGAACGCAAAATAAAACAATTAAGATACGTCGAAAAAATGAATACAGTGAGTTGTCAGTGATGTGAAATATATATACCGCACTGCTAACGATACTCATGTGAAGTACTATAATTAGTAACTAGTTGGATAAAGGCTTCCGTCAAGTTGAATTATAAGACTAATCTAATCCATTAAGTTACTGGCCACTGGTTAGAGAAATTTAGCAAATTGTGCATTTTTTTGTTAACTTGAAAGCAAAAACTGACAGCCAAGAACCAAGTAAGATTTTCTGAAGTCCGGTACAACGAAGCAAACTATATCGTTCATCTTCGAACGGCACTGATAATATCATTCTGATCCCTTCTCTCTACATTATGTCAAGCTTCTCCTGTTATATAAATGTGAGGTGAATTATACCTCTTAGAAAGGTATATATATACACTACATATACACTGTCAACTTGTCCATCTTTTTCACTGCAACATCCGTCTTAGCTTAATTTTAAGCAAATAATGGACTACGGAAGGCTTTGATACTTGGTTTTATGTGTACAAGTATACTGACGAAAATGTCGACTGTTATATATTTTTGCAGAAAAGGAAAACCCAAAGACCTAGATTAATGAACTACAAACACTGGCAAAGTTCAGAGCTCAATTTACACTTTGAAACGTTGTGTTTACGGTATCAACCTACTTTAAGGCCATTTGCGTGAAATAATTAAATGAGTGCTCAAGATTTTGAAGATTGTTAGTGGAGTATAAAGAAATCATTAAACCCGGATTCATTTATTCAGAACGATTAAGAAAGTCTTATCCACTCAACGTTTTGACAAACTAACTTAGTAATAATACAGCATATTCACTAGCAAAAACTTAACTGACCATTCTACCTGAATTTTGCTAACCAAAAACAATCGTCAAGCTAAAATAGCTACAATATTTTGCAGAATCAACACATTTAAAAACAAAAATCAAGAACAAATGAATATTTCACTATAGTCTTACTGATTAGCATCTAAAGCTGTTACTTCTACATCGCCAATCTTTGTACTCTTCTCTATCTCAAGCACATTAATAACCAGCCCCAAACCATAAGCATTTCTCAAAAGATTCTTTGTCACCTAAGACTATAAATAAAAGGAAATGAAAATATACCTCGCTGCAATAGATATCTCCTTTAAAATTCCTGTGGATGCCTCTGAAATGATCAAAATGGAAATGGGAGAGGAAGTAACAGGTACATCCTGGAATTTCAGCATAACAGAAAGCATCAACAGTAAATGATGTGTCTATCATTACTATAAACTTAAATAATTTGACAAACCTGGAATCCATTTATAAAAAGGGCATTTTCTAGGAGTTTTTTCGAGTGGGTTGCTTTTAGATACTGGGAGAGATGTAGATATATTACATGGGTTCACGGTTTCGGCAGGAGCTTTGTATTTTTCGTCTCGGATAAAATAAGACAAAATAGACTCCCCGACATAACCCTTTTTCCGTTTCTTGCCTGTCTTATTCATTGGAAATTAAATTAAATTTAAGAACAAATGAACGATTTTAGATTATTGGGGCATTACACTTAGAACATTCTGCCATACATAATTAAGGGATTTCTGATCATTTCAAATATGTATTGACGAGATTGAAGCCTCTGATAAAATTGATTTCAGGTCTGTAAGCAATGGTTCCGGTGCTGAAAAAAATTGAAAGATATACTTGGACAGGATAGTAACCCTTTTGGTACCCTATTGTGCCACAAATTTTGTTAGGAATAAATAAGAATTAGGAAGTCATATTCTTATATGAAGGATTAAGACGGTGAGTTACAAACAGTCTAATAGCAGGAAGTTAGTCGGATGGGTAAGCATCTTACCAAATTTGGCGGGTTAAATGCTAGAACCTGAGCATATGTAAACCTGACTAGCTTTGTCAATTTAAGTCACCTACGGGGCTGATTAGATGCGCATTCAGCTATACGAGGTCAAGTATATTCCGAAATAGTTTGATTTTTGACCTTTGAAAGCAAAGAACATAGATAAACTGGGAGGTAATGATTGTTTTTCTTCCATGTAGTGAGACTACAGTGAACAATGATAAGGCATACATTAATAGTCACTACTGATTGTCTAATGTGGAGGCATCATAACCTGACTCACCCAAAAATTGTCAAATTACTTAAGTGAGATCCCCTCTGAAAACATTAATGTAAACGCTCCAGTCATACTATCAATATAGAATCTGTAGAGTATAATATTCACCAAGGAACCAGTCTTGTTAACTAGTCAGGTTTCGATTAAATGCATCCTTAATTGAAATTATTCCTGAAAGGCATTACTTTTGAATCACATACCAAGTATTTTAGCATATACCTACACCTGATTCAGTGACCAAGAGACTGAAAGGATGCCTTAATAACCCCTATTTTTGGAAAGATAAATAGACAGCTTGTATCTAGTTGCTGACCTGTAAGTCTAACCGTAGCAGTTGTCAAAATCCGTCGTAAAGAGAAGACTGCCTTGTCACTTAGAAGCACAAAATTTTCTGACACTGGATAAACACGACCTTCGCACTGATCATTTTTACTTGGTGAACCACCAAACTGAAACTATATCAATGAGGTTCGGTAAAGTACATCATGATTTGACTTATGCAGAACATTACTAACCTCTGGATAAAGAGTACGATACAAACCTGCACAAGCAGATTTTCGTATGGTCAAAGATAGAGAGCAAGAGCAAACGGGGCACTTTGTGACTGCAAACCTGCGGAGATAGACATTTTGAACCTTTCTTAAACTCTAGCTGGAATATAACTTATCTAATTTTGTACTAAATACTCCAGACAATCTAGGTGCATAACGGTGGTTTAAAAATTGGAATTTATTTCAACCTTTCACACGCGTGCTGCGGAATAGTAATAATCAGTGAGTAAGGAGACTAAGTGGTGTCAAATTAGTCCAATCAAATGTGATCCAGACTACATATAGAGCAATTTTATACATTATTTTAACGATTTTTAACATTCAGAAAATCATTTGGAACACAGGTTGGGATTGACAACAGATATTAAAGCATGGGCAAACAGAAATGCACACAGACAACCAAACGTCTGTGTTGCAATGTTATTATAGTATAATTCTGGGTTTTCTGGAATTCTCGTAGTTTATGATCAGCGAAGATTGTCTAGAGGATAGTACACGGTGATACCAAATGTTTTAAGCTTAAAACTGATGTGGACTAATTGATAAGATGGTACGAATAAACGAATGAGGTGAGACGACACAGAAGCAAAGTAACAGACCTGCAAACACGGATTTCCCCTCCACGACCTTGAACCAGAGAGAGAGGGCGTTTCGTATTTGCAGTGTTTGAGGTCGATTGCGTGCATATAGGCTAGCGTGGTGCTTAGGTGTTCACATAGTTACGTAGACAGTCTGAAAACCACCACAGTAACTTAAAAGAACATAAGCTATTGTCGCGGTAAATAAATCCCCGGGAGCAATAGTTCTGTTAGGCTTCTACATTGATACTGACCTCATTGGATTTACTGGACTCATCCTGGCTGAAGGCGCTCGGTCACACATCCGCACCAGATCACGAGTGGGGACGTCATGGTTCGCATTCCTGGAGAATGTGAACCAGCTTAGACCATATGCTTCTCGATATATCGATATCTTTCCAAATATATCTCCATTTTCGGCTTGTAATTTGACTGGGCTAGTATACTTTGAATATAAGTGTTGCGCCTAAAAACGTTGTAAAATTTCGGATAATTTTGGCATCGTTATTATGTACTTTGTCTTATTTGGTGTAAACCTCATGTTTGTTGCTACTGTGTAACACTCTGAAAAGCATCGGTTTAATTATTTTGTTGAAGAATCTATCACAGATGGGTGAATAATTTTACTGAAAAATAAGCACATGCTTATGAAAACAAGTTACTGATAGCAGTTAACATACTTATGTTTGGTAATAAAAGTGAAGAAACGTACATGCAATAGATGTTAAATATATTCCTTCTCCACTTATACACTGCTTTCCAGTATATCCTCCCGAGGATTTAGGCAAAAATGCGACGATTCGGCGGATATTTAGGTGAAAATTCGCAAATTCAGCGGATATTTAGGCGAAAATGCGACAATTCGGTGGATATTTAGGCGATAAGTCGGTAATTTGTCGACAAAAAGGCGAAAAAGGGGAAAATCCGCATTATTTCCCCCGGACAGGCGAAAAAGGCGACATTCTGATACGTTTTCCCCTTTATTTCCCCCTTTCGCTACCAAAGCATTTACTCCTTTATTTCCCATTTCTTCGCCTTTACTTCCCCTTTTTGTGTTGCTTGGGCCTGTTTAAAGAAAATTTCGATTACGATTATTGACCAAAATTTTATGGTTGGCAAGATCTTAGCTAAACGTGAAGTTAAGATGGGACATCGGTCTTCAATCACCATATTTGTAACGGCGGTCTATCACAAACTTCATTTGAGTCCCACTCAATGTTTATTTGATGAGAAAGTTAATCTACAGGTGACAAACAATTCATTATGGGTTTATGAACTTCAAAGTGAAAAGGTTTTGAATCGACAGTGCCAGAAGCTGTACTATGGATAGCTCAGTGCTTCTCATGTTCTCTGTGTATATAACTTGGCTAAAATTATGAATTATCATGTGCTTTTAAACACTTATCAGCTACTGAGAAATTCTCGACAGTTCACATAATTTCCGCAGATTATTCTGAAGCTCTTAACTGGAATATCACGCATATTTGCTTCCCAGACGTTTATTCTAACTTTAGCGAACAAAATGCTGTTGACAACCATATGGGAAGCCAGACCAAGAACTGAATGATCAACCTTACCTAGGTGTTCCATTTATTCGTCAGTCTCGGGACAACAGAGAGTTTCGTCAACATGTTGCAATAAGGGGGACAAGTTTTAAGGTGCGTACCTCAGTTTACACAACACATTTTATTTTTCGTGTAAAGATTTACTTGTTTACATAAAGATTTATTACAATGTTCGACATTATTGATAGACTGCGCGTTCAGGTTACTTATTTCGACTGCAAACGGCAAGTAAGTTCAGTCGTGACTGAAAATTTACACTATACCAGAGTTTTTATGGTGCATAATAAACATGAATGCTGAAGATGCCACAGGTATTTGAAGTTTTTATAACGCTTTAACCAGTAACACCTACTATGAATAGTACCCACCAAGTGAAATCAAAAAACAGAGGCGAGGAGATTCGAAGATATATGTGTCGAGCACGGCATTCTCACTCGTGATCTTGTGCGTATGCGTCTCCGAGCACCTTCAGCTAGATGATTTCATTAAAACTAATGTGGTCAGCATCCAATGCCGAAGACTTACAAAGCTATTTATTTTGCGGATTTATTTACCGCTACAATGTTTATTGCCACTATCGGCTATTGTTAACTAAAAAGTGATTCATAAAGGCTTTTCTACACCACATCACCTCTGCATAAGCTAGCCAGCTCCAAATGAATTTGCTGATGTATTCAACAGAAAACTTCATTCAAAAATAGCGGAAATTATAAAACTCTTCAAGTACAGTCACGCACAAACCATACTTTAGTTCAAAATTTAATCATTTTAGTGATGGTTGAGAGAAATCAACATTAAAGCACGTGATGAATGATATTTAGTGCTTGTTAAATGCAAAAGCGAAATAATTCAGTTCAAAGCCTGAAAATACATCAGATTCTGTTTATTAATAGAAGTATAATTTTACTATGCTAAGTTGATTGGAAAGACAAGATTAAAGTTGGTGTAACAGTCGCAGAAAAGGAGCATAAATCTTAAAATAGACCACAATTATTCGCCATACGGTATGATCCAAAAATTTTGGGAATGAGTGAGACATATCGAAAGAGTCGATAAGTACAAATTTGACGATGCACATGATAACGCGCCTCATGTGAGCGAAGAAAGCAGAATTTTTTTCTACCGTCCCTTTATGTTTATACATCCAATTATCAGAGTTCAAAGAAGATTAGAAATTAGTGTGAGAAATTAGGATTTAGACCTGGAACTTAAAGGTTAGGAATTGAATTAAGAATTTTATTCACGGTTTAATGTCAGATATAATTTCGATTGTTAGTCAACTAAATGAATGAATGAATTTTGCTCCAAAGCCAAAGATATACTAACCTGAACTTCATTCATTCCTTCATAAATTATAGTCTTGTCTTTACCACACCCAACCCTAAAATAATGAAATTAACTGCTCGTTGCACGTAAAAATTTCCGTCCAATCCATTCAAAACAAGGATTATGAAAATCATGAGATTCGGCAACAAACTATTCGCAACGGCACTTTTTATCCGCCTAATGGCTAGCTTTGTTCTGATAAGCCACACAAGACTGTCAGTATAGTGTGGTTTGAACTTAAGGATTCATTTTAGTTGTCGCATCAGGGCAGATAACCCATGTTTCACTAAGGAAGCTGTCATCAACTCTGATGAACAAAGTTAACTAAACAGATTGATTTGGGATACTATGGAGAAAGTTAACATTGACTCATTTTGTAAGTAATCTTTGTTACAACACGTACTTTTCATAGTTCCACATAATTTGTGCAATTACTATCACAGACTGTAAAAATTGTCTTTTAAATTTAAGTTTGATCTCCCGTTAGTGTTTGGCTTCCTACTGGTATGACATGCTGATTATCGTTCACAAACACACTACTGCACACTTCTCGTTCCCAATTACCATCTGCTACGTTGAAAGAACTCTGATATATTTTTACTATCTACCCTTACAGATATTTCCATTACGTGATTATTCAAGATAAAGATTATCTCGAATTGTGTCATCCGTGATAACGTTTTAATATAATTGTGAATTATGGGACCAAAAGTTTCAACTTTTAGCAATATGTATCATGTTTTGGTATTGATACTATTGGTCTACAATAACACACACAGATCTTGCACCAGAGATTATATTCAATCTACGCTTATTACCTAAAGACTTGTTGCGGCTTCGAGACCACTACCTGTAAAGTCCAGTGTAAGAAGCATAAGTCAAAGCCTGAAGTATACCTCTAAGAGGTTGGTAAGTTCCGCTATACAAAAATGTGGTGAGTAGCGTATATAAGACAGTCTAAAAGAGAAAAAAGCAAGATAAAACGTTGGTGAGCAATAAGTAAGCAGCAAGTATAAACAGTGCATTTACATCTAGTAATAAAAGCAATGGACAGTAATTATCAGTAACACAGATGGGATTTATGATATATGATAACAGCGACTCTAAACTAGTCAGGTAGAATTTGGAATGTGTTACGTGTTGACGAGTAATATCTGAATTGAGAGAATAGTTTTGAACCATATTTTACCCAATAATTGACCTAGATTATTAATCTTTGTACTCCAAAAGGTTCGAAAGATGTGTAAAATAGCAATCCTGTCACCTAAATTCCATAGGGTAGACAGGAAGGATGCAATATGCTGCCAACTTGTAGCTGTTTTCCTGATATTCACAAGTGTTGGAAAGTATGATAGATAATCAAAAAAGGAGCCTATGTGCGAAATACAACGCTTCTTCATGAAAAAGGAATTGTGCAGTATGAATGGCTTACCAGCGTTGAACACGTGGACATAATTCTGTCTCCAAAATTTGCATGCACACTCTCTACATCTTGACTTCGACAAAGCGTTTAAAGCTGTCTTACTATCTGTTCTGTTAGCCTTAATCAAGCAAATAGGATCACAGTCCTGCTGTTTTCTTGATGAAAGAAATAATTCCATGGCCAAACGCTCTGTGCAAAAGTTAGCGACGTAAAATCAAGCTGAAGAGCCAAAGGGATCAAGTGCCACTGAAGAAACAGATACACAAGAATGTTGGCATTCAACCGCTAAAAACGTCAAACGATGGTATTTCGAGCTGCATAAACTATTAAGTAAAGCTAAGTCATCCTTGGTCACTGCCCATCTAGAAACCCATTTCTATTGATAGTAGAGGTCCTGGATATCAAAAATAATCATTAGGTTGGTACAACAAAAGCTTGAGCTACTTTCTGCCTCCTTCAAACACGCCTGAGCTTTCGGATTCCTGGACATTTCTTGATGTTATCCAAGAGTCACATCTCAAAACCCATAAAATAATTGTACCCTGTAATGAAGTGAGTGCAATAAAAATCTATGGATACTGTCCTATTAGGCAGCACTCTCATATTTTTTAAAATTTTCCTCCCTGTTTGTATATCTTGAACTTATTTCACCCATTCAACAATTATACAGAACAGCTATTTCTACAGTATAGTAACATAAACAGATGTGACTGTATGGTGAATGAACAATATTGCTGAGATATTTCGCGCTTCTTGATGTATTC